CGCCCGGGAGGGCAGGGGCCCGTTTACTGCCATGTGAACACCTGAAGCCATGTGGACGCGGCTGCTTCTCGCCTGTTGGGGGCGGAGGGCAGGTACCGGCAGGCTGGGAGCAAGGTCCCGGCGCAGGACACACTTCCTGTGTGGGGCGGCCTCTCCTCCCGCGCCGCGGGGAACAGGGCGGGGTGTGCGAGCCGGGGTGTCTGGGCAAGGGAGCGCTCGTTTGGGTACCTGAGGCTCTCGTCCCTTTTTCGGGGGAAAGTAGTGGTTTGAAGGAGCGTGGCCAATCGGGCTGATTGCTCTCAGGCTGCGGCAGGAGGTGCACTGTCCCCTGGGCGCCAGAATGGGAGAGGAATTTAGTGAGCTGGGGGGCGGTGCCGAGGAGCGGCTGTCTTCCTCTGCTTGTGGGTGGGATTATTGTCGGTTTCTGTGGTTGCGGATACCAATACGGTCTGCTGATACCTTTAGTTGGACCTTAGGGGTCAGGTCAAAATTAGGATTTTCTCCTTTTCCTTTTTTCCCTCGAAGATTAGATGTCTCTGGTAACTGCTGTAAAATGGATGGAATTTTCGAGCTATTATCTAACAGGCTGATCTTTGAATGATAATTGGACCCTTATGTTAACAGCCTCAGTGAAGAGTGAAGAGTTTTATACAGCATCTTCCGTGGGGTAGCTGTTTGATGGGTGGGGTAACTTCACTGAATTCCGACCTAGGAGACCAGGAATCTGCTTACAGCTTTGACGCCAAATAAACTGCAGCCCAGGGCAAGTTACTTACCCTCGTAATTTCCTCATCTGTTAAGTGAGGATTCCCAGGTCAGACAGTACAGGGGTTTGTGGTTTTGCTTTTTTATCTCTCATTTTGTGCTCTGTTTTAGCCATAGGCAACTTTTCTGAGAAATGCAGACTGTACCTTAGCTGGCTTTTAAAAGCCTGTTTTTTAGCTTCCAGCCTCTACCTTCAATAGAGCATAAAACTTGGTCAGGGTATACTCTTTTTTGAGATCCCACTTGCTGTTCGGTGCTTCAGAACGGAAAGTGTGTTATTCTGACCTGGGTGGAATGCATCTTACATATTTTTTGTCTTTGTGAAAGAAGTTATCAGAAATACTTCAGAGAATATTTGTCTACTTGGGAAATGTGTGGATAACATGTGATTGGGTCTGTGTATGTTGGCTCAGAGGAGTTCCAAGAGCTTTCTATGCAGGGGATTGTGGAGGATCCGGATCTTATTAAAGTTCTTCTAAGGACATTTGACATTTGGCTAACGGTTGAAATTTCCAGCCAGCTTCAGCATTCTCAGAGTAGGGGGATGAAGTAGAATGCCATAACATCTTCTGTGAAATGGTATGCTAGTGGAATTAACTGTCACCTCAGGGTACACTAATTATTTGCCTCCCCCAACTTACTCCTTACTGGTAGCCAATGCTCTGCAGATGCTGAAGAACCGTAATTAGTTTCACTGATTTTATGGTGTGTGAAGGCCTTAGGCCATGCTTTTGACCGGCAAATATTTCTATACCAATCTCAGAATTTTTGTCTTAAATTTCTAGAACTGTGCTGCTTGGCCGGATATGTGCCCAATATGGGTACAATATGGCTTTCTCAGATCACTTTTTATTTTTATATTTTATTTTTTAAAAATTAAATCCCCATTTATTTATTTATTTATTTATTTTGAGACAGTGTGGTGTTCTGTCGCCCAGGCTGGAGTGCAGTGGCGGAATCTCAGTTCACTGCAGCCTCCACCTCCCTGGTTCAGGTGATTCTCCTGCCTCAGCCTCCCGAGTAGCTGGGATTAGAGGCGCATACCACCACACCCGGCTAATTTTTGTATTTTAAGTAGAGGCAGCATTTCGCCATGTTAGCCAGGCTAGTCTCGAACTCCTGACCTCAGGTGATCCGCCCACCTTAGCCTCCCAAAGTGCTGGGATTACAGGTGTGAGCCACTGCGCCCGGCCTGTATCACTTTTTGGTTCAATCTCTTTAAACAGTTTCTAAAAGGATCCCAGCATAGGGGCAGAGTGTTTATACTACTGACTTTGGAGATGGTTTGGTAGTAATTTTCTTGTGTGTTACCATCAGGCCTGTCACAAGTAAACACTTTTGTGTTTGTTTTATTGTTTGAGACAGAGTCTTGCACTGTCGCCCAGGCTGGAGTGTAGTAGCACTATCTCAGCTCCCTGCAACCTCCGCCTCCTGGGTTCAAGCGATTCTCCCACCTCAGCCACCCGAATAGCTGGGACTACAGGTGCGCACCTCCGTGCCCAGCTAATTTTTGTATTTTAGAGATGGGGTTTCACCATGCTGGGCAGGATGGTCTGGATCTCTTGACCTCGTGATCCACCCGCCTCAGCCGCCCAAAGTGCTGGGATTACAGGTGTGAGCCACCGTGCCCAGCCCGCGAGTAGACACTTTTATATAGCCACACAGATTATTTGGGGAATTTTCCAGAATAAACAATTTGTTAGGATTTGAATTATGACCTTGAGTTCAGTGTGGTGTTTAAAAAACTCTGATTATTCAAATTGGTTTTGTTTTTTCTGTTACTGTTGTTCTGAGACGGAGTCTAGCTCTTGTTGCCTAGCCGGGAGTGCAGTGGTGCGATCTCGGCTCACTGCAGTCTCTACCTCCTGGGTTCAAACGATTCTCCTGCCTCAGCCACCCAAGTAGCTAGAAATACAGGCATGCGCCACCTCGCCTGGCTAATTTTGTATTTTTAGTAGAGACCGGATTTCTCTATGTTGGTCAGGCTGGTCTCGAACTCGACCTCAGGTGATCCGCCTGCCTCCGCCTCCCAAAGTGCTGGGATTACAGGCGTGAGCCACTGCTCCTGGCCTATTAAAATGTAAGCAGTTATCACACTCACGTGTATGTTACACTTGTCTTATAACTTACAAGGGAAAATATTGTTATAAAATTTTCATTCAACAAAGTAATTTGTATGTATTTATGTGAGAGAAGGTTGCCAAAATTAGTAAGATATCCGGAGACGTGGCTTTTAGGTTCCATAACCTAGTAGTGGTATACTTTTTTTTTGAGACGGAGTCTCTCTCTGTTACCCAGGCTGGAGTGCAATGGCACAGTCTCCGCTCACTTGCAAACTTCTCTTTCTAGGCTTGAGCGATTCCGCTGCCTCAGCCTCCCGAATAGATGGGATTACAGACTCCTGCCACCATGCCTGGCTGTTTTTTTGTATTTTTAGTAGTGACGGGGTTTTGACATGTTGGCCAGGCTAGTCTCAAACTCCTGACCTCAGATGAGGTCAGGAGGTCATTCCCCTGCCTCAGCCTCCCAAAGTGCTGGGGTTACAGGTGTGAGCACCTGCCTAACTTTTAAAAAATCTGTAAGATAAAATGGAATGTAATTGAAATGATCACATTTACTTGGAGTTGGACTTTTTCTCATGAGTCCAACCTAAGTAGAAAAAATGCTGGCATTTGTATAAAAAACAACCCTTTGTGCTAGACTCTGTCCAAGGCATTTTAAATTGTGTTACAGCATCCACCCAGCTGACCTTAGAGGTAGACCATCTTTCCTTTCCCTGAGAGGTGGTAGAGCTAGTGAGGGTCAAGGCTTAGATATAACCCTCCCCCTCTTGGCTCCAGAGCCTGTACTGTACTAGGTTTTTTGCCTGCTCAAGGCACAGGTCAGTCAGTGGTAAGTGTGGCCCTGGAATCCATATCTTCTTGCTGTGCCTCGCTTTTTAATTTAATTTAATTTTATTTTTTTTGAGACGGAGTCTCGCTTTGTCGCCCAGGCTGCAGTGCAGTGGCACCATCTCGACTCACTGCAAGCTCCACCTTCCGGGTTCACGCCATTCTCCTGCCTCAGCCTCCGAGTAGCTGGGACTACAGGCGCGCACCACCACGCCCGGCTAATTTTTTGTGTTTTTAGTAGAGATGGGGTTTCACTGTGTTAGCCAGGATGGTCTCAATCTCCTGACCTCGTGATCCGCCCGCCTTGGCCTCCCAAAGTGCTGGGATTACAAGCGTGAGCCACTGCGCCCGGCTATTTTATTTTTTTATTTTAAAGCTATGATGAATCCAAAATCTAGATTCAGGTGAAATACTGGAAAGGGTGGTTTTTGAGACTGCTTATGCTTTTGTGATCCCCGGGAGTTTCCTAAACTTTTACCTTGCCCATACTTGGTCAGTTTTGCCAGTGTACGTGAGATTTAATCTATGAAAAATTTCTCTTTTCCTACTTCATTCTGTCCTGAGGTGAAAACTGTGGTATCAGCTTAAAGAGTAACATAATACATAAAGGGCTGTCTCTCTTCCTGACTAGTTTACAATGCACTAGAATCATTTTGTAGGGTGACTGCTCTCACTCAGTTTGACCAGTTGGGACTCAAAAGATATATTTACCAAAGACAGTTCTTTCCCCAGTAAATGCCTTAAGCCTTCTTACTCATGGGGACTTTGTGTTCAAGGCACCTTAGTACTCATTCATTCTGTCTGGGGCTTTGACTCTACTGTCTTCATTTTCTTTTTGTGGAGGTAAAAAAGTGACAAGATAAAGCAAAACAATAAAACTATTGGAGTAAAAGCCGTACATGAAAGTGATACGTTTGAAATACAGTAAGCCTGGGCAACATAGTAAGACCTGGTCTCTGCAAAATAAAAAAACCAGATGTGGTGGGTGCCTTTAGTCCCAACTGTTCAGGAGGCTGAGGTGTGAGGATCATTTGAACCTGAGAGGTTGAGGCTACGGTGGACCATGTTGTTGCCATTGCACTCCAGTCTGGGAGACAGAGCAAGACCCTGTCCAAAAAAAAAGAAATAGAATACAGTATACTGAAATCAAGGTATTTATAGTTAGAGCATAATTTGGTCTCATTGCACTGGATAGTTTTTGATTATTGGTTAGGCTGTTGAAAGTCCTTTAATACCCTTGATACATGTGGTATGGGTGAAAAGGGTCTCATGGCGATAAACACAATCAGTACTTTCTGTGTAAGAGCAATGTTTGCTTTGTGGGTAATATGCATGACCCAGCAGGAAGATGAACTAGAACGTGAGTTAGCTGGTATATCCGTGACTTATTATCTGGTGCTTCATAGTGGGGAATTAAGAAAGAAAACTACTAGGGGAAATATCATTATTGCAGTATGCGTATGTAAGCTGTTCTATAGGAAAGAGTAGAAATTCACTGGAACATTTGATATCAGTCTGATTGGAAGATGGTTTCCATGTTTGAACATCATGTCCCTGAATGTGAATTAAGGTCTGCGCGTGTGTGTGCGCTAATTTTCGTTAACAAGTATTTACAGGCATTCTCAGCATGGGGAAGTGCGATGGTGGACAAGAAAGAGCCTACTCTGGAGAC